AAATTGCAGTGGTTTGTGGTCTTCCCAGTTTGAAAACACACAGTTATGGTGTTGAAAGTTTAAAAAAGACAAACAAAAAAAAACAAATGTAGAGTCATAACTGTAACCGTAATAATCAACGTTCTTTTTTTATTAATATGTTCTGTTCTTATTTTTTTTTATTTTAAATAGTTTTGGAAATATTTTATTCTGACGGTTTTCATAGTCTAAGTTCAGATTTCTTTTTGGATCCGTGTGACCGATTGTCACACGGATCAGATCAGATTGGGGGGGAAAAAAAGCTATTATAATGTTAAAAATTAGTTATGAGCAAAAGTAATTGGAAACTGTAGTTCCATCCATCCATCCATTTTCTGAACACCCTTGTCCCTCAGTGGGGTCGGGAGGGGTGCTGGTGCCTATCTCCAGCTAACATTCCAGGCGAGAGGCGGGGTACACCCTGGACAGGTCGCCAGTCTGTCGCAGGGAAACTGTAGTTTTGTTTCTCAATTAACATGTTTTAGTGTAGCTCCTGTTTTCTCTTTAGTGTCCCTAATGTTTTGGAGGAGAACTGCAGTGAGTCAAGAAAAGGCAGCATCTCTCCAATGTCAGTCAAATGTCACATTAAGACGAAGGTGCTGGCTAAATCTCTTCCTCACTGTTCTTTCCCTTTCACACATCTGCCGTTTTCATTTTTTTTTTTTTTTTTTAAAGCTTCTAATAATAATCCTCACATTTTCTGTTTTTCCCCTTTTCCTCTTCCCCTCTCCTTTCCGCCTTCATCCAGTGGGCTAAAAACCCAATTTATTTCTGTAGCACAGGAGAGGCTTGTAAGAGTCCCACGGGGGGTTTGCTGTTGTGTTGTCAAGGTAACACACTGTCAGGGACGTGGCCTCCCGAGCCAGTCCAAAGGGGTATTTTTGAATGTATTCACTAATTGAAAAAGTAGGAAGGCAGAACTGAAAGCAGAGGCGACAGAGAGAGAGATGGAGAGAAAAAAGAATAACTTAAAAGGAAAGTTGAAAATGGATCAAGAGATGGTAGAGAGAGGAGAAAAAAAACAGAATAAGTGAAAAGGTGAGGCTGCAAATACCTCTGCACAGATGGCGTCCCCTGCTTGTCAAGTTCGGGGGGGGGAGAGAGGAATGACATGCACATATAGAGCATCTGTCATTCAGCTCGGTCAAGTGGGCCCGATTGGCTGTCGGCGGTTTCTAATGGTAACAGTCTCCATACCCCTCCTCCTGTACAGCTATGTGAGTGTGTGTGTGCGTGTGTGTGTGTGGGGGAGGCAGAGCACCTTAGCCCCGTTTGTTGATCTCCAATTGAAGCTCCATCAGGCTTCTCCTATAATTACAGACGCCTCACCATTCCTGCTTTTCAACCTTCCAGACTCAAAGTTTCTGTCTGTGCCCGCTAAATAAGACAGCCGGGGAAGCAAATGAAGGAGAAAAGTTGGGGAAATGACTTGCATCCAGTTTTCCGTTTCTGTTGCGGTGACTGACAGGTGTCGCAGGTGTGGCGTCAGATGTGTAGTCAGGATACTGAGGGGAATTGGGATGCTAAGGTTTCCCCACAGGGAGGAGCAGGCAAGGCTTGACAGCAGTCTGAGATGCGCTGTCATATTTGTCGATGGGTTTTGGCATCAGAGAGACTTTTTGTTGTTGTTGTTGTGTATGTGTGCACAGCAGTTGGCTGTGCTTTAGATGTGCAGCACATAGGTGGAACATAGGGCAGCGTTGCATTAAGTTTGCGTGACATGCCCAACAACAATCAAGGAAATTTAGCGGCTTTTGTGCATTTGTAATCCTGGAAACAAAAACTGGCTGTAGCCTGTGAAAGAGTTGAGATTTACCTTCCGTCAGGACAACAAACATTAAAGCTGCAACTTTATTTTTTATGTTACAAAAATATGTATTTTACATATTTGTTAAAACTTTCACCACGTCTCCTCAATCTCCTCCCTGAGCTCCTGTTACCAACTGAAGAAATGCACCGCTCCTGGTCAAAAACAGCCAATCAGAGCCAGGAGGAGAGTCTTAATGCTGTCAATCACCCTTGTGAATGAGCTGCCAGATATAAACCATTCATCCACCGTTATCTGTGGCAATGCTAACTAGCTTTAGCATTCATGACAGGCTCAGCAGACAGCAAGGGGGAAAGGGTGGAGCAGCATGATTGGGACAAGGCAGAGGAGCTCAATTTATTTTTCACGGATTATCTGTCGCGACATGGTGGCAGTTTAAACAAATACGTAAAAAAAACATTTTTTCTAAAACTGACACACTGCAGCATTTATAAACATACAGCCAGATCTGCAGTGAAATGGTTTAAAATAAAACATATTGATGTCTTTTAATGGTCCTAAACCCAGTTGAGAATCTTTGGTAAAACTTAAAAATTGAATTTGATCCCATGATCACATTGAGAACAGGCAAACATTTCAGTTTCTCCAATGGGTAATACTGGTTAAGACATAGCTATAAGAGCCATTATTGGAGGCAACAGCATTTTCTCAAGGGACAAACTGAACTGAGTCTGATGGCATTCTTCCTGCAGACCTAAGAGTGACTCGGGCGGCAGCTTTCAGCTTTCCACTGCCCGCCTCTGGATGAAAAAGAGAGAGGAGGAAAAGAGACAGCGCCGTGACTCATTCACATTATCCTCTGAAGTGGAAACCCTTCAAACGTGTCGCACTCGCACATACAGAAACGGGCACTCAGTCGTACACTGGCATGCACATGGCACGTGTGCAACGGGAGCCCGGGAGCCCATTGGGAGTGTGTGATGTGCTTTGAGCAGTGGCTCACTTTGAAACGTCAGATTCCCGCTTAAAAGGAGAAAGTGGGCAAACTCCAACAGGGCAATTAGCCCCGTGTCTCAAAACAAGTTCTCTCCGTTGCCTGGGTGTTCACAATCCCCCGAACAAGGTTAGAAGTAGTTGAACATTTTTAGGCTAATTTCCTGTAAAGAAATCACAAAGCATCTAATGCTGATGTTTAAATGCTACTAGTCCCCTGAGACGGGGGCGCTTGTAGGATCTTATCGAGTGGTACGTACAAAACAACAACTCACCTGAAACCACAAGAGCACAATCACAACCTTTGCACACATAAGTGTGGCGGACAAAACCAGCAGAAACCACACAAATACAGACCACATATAAAAATGGTAGAAATGGAAACTTTGCACCGGATACCTAACGGTGATTTCCTGATCCACACAATATGTCACGTACACAATGCGCCCACAAAAACAGCTGCTCTGATCCACGCAAGGTTCAACATGCACAATGTGACTCACACACACACCTATGCCTGCATAGACTACTTTTTTACACATTACACTGAACAATGTAGTCAGGAAAGCAGATTCCCAGGCTCAGGTTGTGTGTGTGTGTATGTGAGACATCATCATTTCTACTCTTTTTAACAAACGTTTTGACTGGTTAAAATCGGCTTGTTCATTTATAGCCACCCTTACCACATCGTCATGTTAAGCTTACAGAAAGAGCTTCTAGAGCTGCCAAGTAAACAAACGTAATCAATAAAATTTAGATTTACGACGCACAAGTTAACAACCCCACAACAGAAACACACGTACAGGATGTTTTGACAATACAGACCATTTTTATTTTTTCTCATCATAGTGTTGATAGGAAAGGAATAAATAATTAAAAGTCCAATACGTTCCTGTTTGGAAGAACCTCATTTCTATGTCAAACCAAAACCGTTAAGAGGTTTTTACTCTGGTCATTTGGTTGTCTGTCCCGGTGTGTCGGACACAACATAAATTGCCGACCAATCAGTGAGATCAAAGAGGACAATCCTTCTTCTGATAAGGACAGAGCTAGTTCACTGGTGTTGTAGGCTTCATATTGTTGGAACTTGTTGTGCATCCCATTACTTCAGGCATAAAGCAGAAAGAACATACCTACAGTTATACATGGTGGTGGAAGTGTGACAATCTGAGGCTGCCTTTAGTCATAAATGGCTTGTTTAGATTTTCTCTACAAGAAAATCCTCATGAAGAACATCTGCCAATCAGTTCCTGTCCATAGGTTTATTTGTGCTTGAGTTATGCTGTAGGTAAATGATCCACATAACATCAAGTCCAAAACAAAAGAAGAAGAAGTACTTGACCGAAGCCCATTGAGCACTTCCTATCTACATTAGTGATTGTTGTGTTGGCTTGCTGTGGTGAATTTCCTAGTTAGCACTAGCTACAGTTGGGCTAACTATCGCTGAGATCAAGAATTGAAATCGCAGCAAAACTAATTTTCTATGTCACACAAATCTTGGTTGTTTTATAGCGTTGTGAGCATGCAGCCAGTGAACCATGAGATCTCCCGTCTATCTTTATGATTGGACGCTGCACTACACCTGTGCCTCATGTAGACTTCGCCTGCTAAGCTAATCTCCACTGCCAGCCGTGGTCAACTCGGAGCAGGATACGGATATAAACAGATATACAGAGACAGTTAATCGCTCGGATCAAATGCAACAGGTCACGCAGCACAAATCAGCGGCTCGTTTGTGTTTGTGACATGCAGAGATTTAACTATGTCAGGTAATGCAGCTTGGAAGAATACATTAAGTCTGGGTTTGATGAGGTTATGTTTGAACCTATTGGATTATTTCAGTGGTGTTTATTTTTTATTTTTTGTGCTTTATTTTTAGATTTAGCATCACTTTTACTGTCACAAAGAAGACTTGTAGTCCTAAATGTAGCATAAATGCTGTTTTTACTTAGTTTTAGAAATCAAACTGCTTTTGCTTTACAACAAATGCATTGTCAGAATAGCTAAAATGTAACTGTAACCAATGACAACGGAGGTGAAGCGAGATATGAATCCACTGTATTAAAATTATACGATATTTCTTATTCCTGTACAGAACTGTTGGTGTTGTGTTATTCCTTAATGCAGACAACATTTTCACACAGTTATTGGGCACAGAGATGGATTACATCAGCCCAAACAAACTTTGTTTTTCATCCATTTCCTCTCTGTGTCTCCACAGAAACCTGCTGGACATGGACACCTTCTCCAAATCAGACCCAAGTAAGAAACATGATGTCCAAACATCCATCAGACTCAAAACTCTTTAGACGGTCATGTGGAAAAGACAACACTGTTATTTTCTGGATAGAGGTTTTTATCACATATTAAAATAAGACTCAGGAAATTAGTTAAAATGGACAGTAATGAATTTAGAATGATTGCTAAATTAATGGATCAAATTTATTGTTGAACAAAACAATATCCCTTTTAAAAGAAAAAAAAAGAAACAAAAGAAAACAAACAAAATGACTAAAAATGAAACCCCACGCCAGAAACGCCCACTCACAATACTATCGTGAAATCTTCATTAAAATGAAACTGTCTTGTCTGGGCAAAACTTTGCTTTTGTCATTTTCTAGAGAAAAGCAAATTTGGTTTAGAAAAATCTTACATTTTTCTTTTTATCAACATTCTTAAACAAGAAAGTCTAATAATAATGCTTAACAGGTGGATTGTTTTTGTTTTTTTGAAATGGATCATTTTTATCTTTGATTTTCTGCATGACATCTTAATGAGTACAAGCTTTTAAAAAAAAAAAAAAAGCCTGTGATTTTCTCTGGGATCAGTGAATTGACTGAAACGATCATTTGAAAATCCACCTCTGTTGAGTTGGAGCTTTGAATTTGACCACAAATTAAATTAAATTGGCCATTATAGCTACACTCCACTGACTAAATTGGCTATTAAGTAATTTCCAGTTTAGGTGGAACTGGTACTGTAACTGTAAATGACAGAGTAATGCATTTAACTTTATTAAGTAGCCCTACTTTATCATTAAAGTTGGACTTGGCCAGGATATTTCATACTCTTCCTGTCATTTCCATTTCGCGTTTGTGTCCAACAGTCTAAGACCACACCAGAAAAAAAGTTATTGCATGATGAACAAGTTGTCAGCACATTTCCAAGAGAACGCGATGGAAGGAGTGAATCACTGTGGCGATGATGATGATGATGACAGTGATGAGACGAGTGCCGGGATGACGGTGATTGTATGAGGGAGTAGTAGAGGACAGGCTTTAACTATATGTTCAGGTAGTTCTTGTGATCTTGTGATTCCTCTGAGCAATACTTTAATCCCTTAATTTGAACCTGACTGATGTAGGAAGGAGCCAGAAGGCGAAGAAGCGAAGGGAAAGTATTAAAGTTGGCAGAAATGCATAGATAACCGGGGTATGTGACCTGGTAATAAAAAATATCAGCGATACAAATCAAACGGCTCCAGCTTTCTGATGAAATTTTAAAAAAAAAAGTCTAAGTTTTTCAAATCCATGGAACATGTTCTGCTTCAGTAATCCAGTGTTATTATTCTATAATTAGCTACACATCCTGTAAATATAGATGTTTGCATTGACTGATAACGTTGGACGTTTGTCTTCTTTACAGTTTGTGTTCTCTACACGCAAGGCATGGGCAACAAGGAATGGAGAGAGGTCAGTACCTTTCTTCATAGCAACACCACGGCATCTTCTTTGTTTTGGTTTTCAAGGCCATGAATATGTCAATACGACAATAAAGTTTCGTCTTTCATATAGAATAAATTGGCAAAGGAGGGCTTCCTATTAGCAAGGAGAAATAAATGGAGTACACGTTTTTAGCAGCAGCTGAAGCTCCGTTGCTGACTTTGTCCGGGAAAGAGACGCAGCTAAACACTCAGAGCTCTTTATGTGATGAAGAAAAACTGAGACGTCATATAGTACTTTCCATGAGAAAGAAAAAAACTGAGAACACAGAGCTGATGGAACCAATTGTTCCCGTTTTTCCCTGATGGTGGCAAGACATTTTGGGAAGACACCTGTGTGAACAATCAGTCAGCTTGATTCTCCGTGATTAAAAAAAACAAAAAAAACAGACCGTTTCCCGGTCTACAGTAGGTATTTTCCTCATCATAGCTACTCTATAAAACCTGAACTGTCCCTTTAAGACGTGAACAGTTGGGGGTGGGAGAGAGGGAAACATTAAATGTCATTAAAATATCATATTGAAATGCAAACGTTACTCTTTTTAGCCGCACGGGTCACATTAGTCAAGGCTCTTCTAATGTGCTTAAGCTCTTATTTACTTTAGGCTACGCATGCTCTCATTAGACAAACACTTATCACTTAAACTGATTAAAAGCAACGTGCATTCATATTTAACTAGAAATAGCACATCAGGTCAATGTATTCACCAGCCTAATTTGTCTCTCTGTTGGCGTCACATTTGCATTAATTTTTATTTACCGTCTAAGCTGATATCTGTGAAAACGACAGATGGTCACTTGTCAGCGAACCAACCAGAGACACAGGTGGAGGACTTATTTTAGGTTTTAATGAAAGTCCTAATTATGCCTGTCATTGCTCTTTTTAATTGATAAACACCGTCGACAGCATCTTTGAGAGCATGTTTTCTGAACTGCAGTCACCAGAGAGGTTTTTTTTTTTTTTTTTCTCCACATGAATATTCACGAATGTAAATGAGAGTTCAAATTCCCACCGCCCCAATCATTCCCGGTTCTTCAGAATTCCGAGTGCCCCTTCATCTGCTTGCTCTATCAACAGGCGGAGTTAAATGTCAAACACTGACCTGCCTGACCCCCATTGACTGGATGCTTAAGCTGCTCTGCATTCATTACGCCATAGCTGTACATAATCTTCCGTAACCAGCGCCTCCCCTGATGCGTCTCCAGAGAAACAGGCTGCAGGTGACGAGATACTTTACACGAGTCACCGCAACTTCGTGGAGAGCCTGGAAAAGCCGCTTTTATTTGAACGGAGAAATCTCCGAATTGTTGCACGAAGATAAAGTGACATCTTATAGATTCTCTGAAGGCAGGGTGGCGAACGGAAATGGTTGAGAAAAGCAGCGGAGATGAGGAACGTTCGGACCCTTGAGTTTTCTCCCGACTGTTCTCTCAACATCCCTCTCATCTTTGCTCTTAACTTCCAGTTTGGGAGAACGGAGGTGATTGACAACACGCTAAACCCAGACTTCGTGAGGAAATTCATGCTGGACTACTTCTTTGAAGAGCGACAGAATCTCAGATTTGACTTGTGAGTACAACTTCCTGTGTTTGCTTAACTTTTTTATTATTTATTTAATTTTGTCTGGTTTTCTTTGCTTTCTGCAGCGACAAGTAAAAGTTTTTGCTCCCCACATTTTGTCATATTTTAGCCACTTGCAATATATTTTTGTACAATTTTGTGCGATTGGATAAGAAAAATGCGAGTAAATGTTCTGCAAACATCACTTTGAAAGTCTTGCCGCCGATTTTCAGTTGGATTCAGAATCAGGCCCAGACTTTGACTAGGCCATTCCACCACATAACCTTTTGATTGCATCTCTGGCTTTACGTTGGTGACATTTTCCTCCTGTGAGGTGAACTTTTTCTTCCAGTTTGAAGTCTGTCATGTTTCTTCTTGCCCTCCGTGTTGTCCCATCAATTCTGACTGAGATCTGATTTGAGATTTCTTTTGTTAAAATTGGAGACATTGTGTTTTACTTCTTGATCTGTCAAAGAAGAAATGTATAAATGCCTCTCAGACCAGGAACTACAGCCTCTTAAAATGCCTTCATTTGCTCTGAAGCTGAATTGGAAGTGGGACAGTTGTCGTTTTTAAACCCAAAAGTGAACTAACTGCTTTTAAAGGTCAGGATCAACTGATACAAGTATAAACAAAGCTGCACACCTGCAGAGTGGTTCCGCCCCAGAGTAAAAGGGTCAAGGTTCCTTCAGGGGAGACATTTGTCCCGCTGTCTTACTCAGTGCGACAGACGGTTGACTGATTCTTCTCTAATGGCACAACTTCCATGTTCACAATAGAATCTTTAGGCATCCACGGCAGCAGGAATTGTGCAAACCTTATCTGACCAAAAAAACAAAGCCACCACAGCAGTACAACAATGATGTTTGTGTCAGGTTTGACAGGGGGATTTCCTATTAGAGGCTGCCGTTGTAGACGTTTTACCACTGAAAGCTCACACACACTGAGGCAAACAGCATCATGTTTTCAGGAGTCTGATCTACATCCTTTCCCTATTTTGACCGTTGGATGCTCAAGAAACATCCTAAATGTTCACCAAAGCTCCACTCATGATGTCTCTACTGTCACGCTCTGTTTTTAGGCAGTTCCAGACAGGACGAATTGAATTATTTACATACAAATCACTGCTGTGCATGTTGAGCACATTCGGTTCAAATCAGACCTGTCCTTCCTGGATGCTTAACGTATTGTGAGTAGCTTGAGTTTAGGTGTAGTTTGAAAATAAAGTGCGCCCCTTTTCAATCGTGAAGCAGAGAGAATACCTAAAAGGAAAAACAACTACTACACTATATAAATAAAATTACCTTACCTACCTTACCTACACCTCCTCAGTATATAATCGTAAAAGTTATTTATTAACAGCAACAACTTCAGTCTGTCATGATGTTGTTGATGAATTTTGGTTTGGTGACCTATAAGAATTCAGTTGATTGAGGTTTCCAGACATCCATGAATATTTTTCCAGCCTTTCTGTTGTACAATTCCTGGTGTCTTCGAGGTTACCGTCCTGCTGCATTGACTCGGATCCAGTACATTTCTACTGGTTGGCAAACGGCCTTCCACTTGACTTTATATAGATTGCACTTCGACTATGAAACCTGTCTTTCTCGTCATTCCACAGATGTCATCAGTGTGAATCTACGTCATTTCCTTGTACTTCAGATTTACTGACTAGACCTTTTTGGTTGCACGAGGTGCAAACGTAGGAATCTGACATTTCGTTGGTCTTCCTTCGCATACCGATGGGGTTTTAAAGGTTTTCAACCTGCCAGCAGCGTCTCTAGGTGATGCCGTTTCTCGTTAATTACATGCAAATTACAGTTTCTCTTTTAAAATGAAAAGATTAATTAGATTATCTGTAAACCACAGAGGAGCGGCAACAGTTTTCACCATCATTGTGAAAGTTAGGCCGCGACGGCGAGGAGAGGCTGGGTCTAAGATGGTAGTAAGAAAAAAAAAAAAAAGGGAAGAAAATAAAATAAAACGCTTTGGGGGGAAAAATAGTTTGCGTGGGTGGAATGTTGTGAGAGAACGAAATATGACGAGCATCTGTGGAATGTCGGGTTCACACCTGGATCCTGGCAGCTCTGTAAGAGGTGACTGGACCATTTCCAATCACAACACTTAAAATATCCTGAGCCTTTTTGCTCAGGTGCTCGGCCAGACCAATGCAGGATCCCCACCTTGGCATTTCCACCGAGTCGCTCAGTCACGCTTCGTGCTCACATGTGCAGGAGATGTGTCACCCGGTCACATGCTGGACAGACTCATTCCAAGACGAAACCAAAAGTGATGTGTGCCTCTTGCGCTTCTCTCCCCACATGCGGTGCGGCCCAAGCCACAGTGTGGGTATTTGCGTGCCGGTTGTGTGCGGCCGTAGCAGGTAGCCATAACAACCGGGGGTTCGGGGGATGGTGGCTGGAGGTGTAGGGAATGACGGTTTTCCTTCTGGGGGAAAAAAAAGAGAAGCATTTAACCTTTCATATCGAATATGCTCCGGTGGACCACAACGAGTCACCAGTTAGTCTATTTACACACAGAAGAAGCACACGCTGCTACTACTTGCATTGTTGTGCATGAAAAAAAACAAAACAAAACATGGAGCTTGTCATGATATCCTCTCTCCAGAGAATCTAGTTTAGATTTGCTAGTAAGATCACACCAGTTTCCCTCAGAGTGATGTGCTCTGTCACAATGACAAATTTTGCAGGATTGTCCAGCAAAATATTGTAGTTTTCAGACCATTTTCAAGTAAATATAACAATGGGATAATAACGCAAGTTCGCCCTCTCAAACTTTAATTTTGCAAAGAACACTTAACACTGTAAGATATTTTAAATTTCCAAACCAAATATAATCAGGTTTTCTCGCATTACCACCTCAAACACATTTTTATTAGTATTGTTATATATTATGTGGAAAAAACCCAAAACATTTGTGGGTTTTGATAGTTTTTGCAAAGAAATGTATGTGAAGTTTTTTGGGGAATTGTAGTTTTACTGCATATTTCTTTTTATTAAAAGCAAATTAATCTTTTCCACAGTTGCCATGTGCACTCTCAGGATGAGGCATTGTTGCAGTTTCATTTAATTGAACTGGAATCTTGCTGTGCAGTGGTACTAATCTCATTATATATTGTTAAAGTGTTTAATAAATTGGGACTATGAAAATGAATCAAACTCAACTTGCTGGGCTTTCTTTCTATCTTTGAATGAATATATTTTCACCCGGTCGGCTGATTTAAAGAGCTGGTAATTATTAAAGCAGCATTCCAAATACAGTCATCTGAATATGAAGCGTCTCAGCTAAACTACACTTGAGAATCCTGACTGACAGACTCTCTTTAGAGGAGAACCTGACGGGCATGACGATCAGACACCTGAGGGATTAGAAAAATGGCTTTGAAGACAAGTCATAAGTTTCGAAATGCAAAGAACTGATTGTCATGTGATGGGAAAGGAACAGAGCGAATGGAAAATCAAGAAGATGAGCAAGTTGGTGCGGGCCCTATTAAAGCTCAATTTGGCTCCACAGCTAAGCCTGTAACAATAAGCAATAAATTAATCGCATGCTAAATTAAAAAGGGATTGATAAACTCCATGTGGGAGAGATGCCCCGCTTTACTATTGTTGAAAAGCCGGTGTTCTGAAAAATGCTGCAAACTAGCTGCCACTTTTGACCTGTTTTTCCTGTCAAACGCGAGTCATTAGTATTTTTTTTTTATTTTTATTTTTTTTTTGAAAAGCAGTTTTGGATACATAGACTTCATGATCCATTTCAATTATTGTTATTTTGTTTACTTATTTTGGGTATATAAAATGTTTTCCAGTTCCGGTGTCAAATGTTCTCTAGTTCTACATTTTTCAGAGGATGTACTTTGACATAATTAGTGTAGTAGCTGAAAATGGGCTCAAAATGTCATTATTATTGCTTATTGCATTAATTTCTGGGACAATTTGTTGTCCAGTAAAATGTGTTGCTGTGACTGACCTACCAACAACAAATGAGCTTCGTCCCGTTGCAGTGACACAGTTAGTTGGGTTAATGTTTGTCTGAACGGAGTTGATCATCTTCTAACCAAAGTTAGCTTTTTGTTGCTGTGAGAGAATAGGTCATGATAAGCATTCTCAGTGTGTGAAAAACAGGCTTTTATGTGACTGTGTGTGTGTGTGTGTGTGTGTGTGTGTGTGTGTGTGTGTGTGTGTGTGTGTGTGTGTGTGTGTGTGTTCACATGGGGCTCCTGTTTTGTTCGGTTTTCATCAGCAGCTGTATAAAGCTGCCACTGTCGGCCCGTCGAGGGCATCGTCGTCTGAGACGATGGCAGGTGAAAGATGGGCCCTGACAATGAGGCGAAAAGTGAAAACAAAGCGAAAAGTGACGATGGAGATCACTTTTCACTGATTTATTATGCAAAACTTTATGTCTTTACTTCTTAAATACACACTATGATGAAATGAAACGAAGCCTTTTTAGTAATATTGATATCCTCTGGGGGGGGTTTTCTCCCAAAAAATTTTTGTTACAGTTGCTGACATTTTTGTTAAAAAAAATTAGCGAAGTCATCTCACAAAGGTAGTTTTCATTAGTATTCATTCCCTTTTTGTCAATACTTTGTGGAAATAACTTAAAACTAAAAATATTGTTTTCTTAAATAAGAGGCCAAATATTTATTACCTTTTGGATCATAAAAGGCAGACTAGTGGTTTACATGGTCATTTTAACCAGCTCATCAACTTTATAATTGACGTTTCTGATCTGCTACTTGGTCTTCATGAGTTTTTGTTCACTTATGCCCTCTAACAAGTGAACAAAAACTCATGATTGCAGTAGGCTTTACTCAGTGTGATCTCAAATTTCAGATTTTTGTTTACAAAAAGTTTGGACAATGAACGAATCCCTACCCTCTCGTAATGCATTGAACTTGGTGGTTACAGTGGGTCAAAAGGTGAAAAAGCTTAAAACCTTTGCCCCGTACGGTAAACCCACTTATGGGAAAGCTACTTACGAATACAAAAGGCTTTAATAAATAAAACGCAAGGGCACTGCGCAAACTCCAGTTGACTGAGAGAACAAGGCAAGAAGCAAGACAGTAATTTAGAAAATCTGGCAATGAACCAAGAGGAAGAAAA